TGTTTTCCTCTAATTATTTTGCCTAGAGTAAATTCTTAATTATCCAGTGACTGGATATTTAATCTGTGGCTTTTCCAAATTCTCCCTTTTTAATTCTTTACTGGTCATTCTAAATCATTTAATTTTTTTTTTTATTTTTATAATTTCATCAGATGATACATGATGGTAGAGGGAGAAGTTCATATTAAAATAAGTAGGTTGCACTTTTAATAAAGATTCCTGGTAAAAAGTTTGGTTCCAATGAATGCATAAAATAAATGTTTCAACCATTTGTGGATTGGAATCCTTTCACCATCCTATATAACTTAAAGTCAAAACTCTATAATTTGCTCTTATAATTTTATAATATAATAAACATATTACATATAATTATATTAATATATGTAATTAACATATAATAGATAACATAATAATTTTATTAAGAGCAAAGCTGCAAGTATTAAAAAAAAGGCCTAATAGTCATACCACTCCACACCACCTGCTAAACTGCACACAGCTTGCAATAATGCCGAGTGGAAAGTTTTCTTCACAAATGTGAGAGGATTAATTTGTTCTTACATAGAAAAGTCCTCGAATAGATTTAGAAACTAAACTTAAAAGTGAGGTTAAGGACCATTTCAAATATCAAAATAAGCAACAGTTATATCCATCAAAATACTGTTATAATCCCATGACTTGAGGAAGAAGAAAATTACCCTAAGGAAATTATGACGTAGGCAGAAAGTATGCGTAGGGATCCTACTCTTCAATTACATGCTTCCCTCACTAACTTTAGGCTTCTTTTGGCCCTAGATGTTTTACTGCTGCTCTGTGACTATGGAAAAACAGCTATTGTCCTCAATGCCATGTATCAAACTACCTTTTGAACACAGGCAACTGTGCTCAACTATTTTCCTTTCACTCTACACGGGCCAGAATTTGTATTCTCCCTTCCTGTTGACTTTTCTGTTGACCAGAATAACAAAATGAATTCATACTAAATTGTGTTACAACCCTCCCTTCCTTTCAAGAAAAATTTCACTGAAAAGAAAGAAGTTTTAAACCCAATGGAATTCCGAATTACTTTAATTTCTGGAAATTTCACAAAGAACAGAATGTTTTGCTACAATGCACGTTTGTGTAAAATCAATGAAGTCAATTGGCAAGTAGAATGACATCAGTACAGAATGCAGATTTAGCACCACCAAGCAACAGCCACTGAACACCAAATATATTGATGCGATTGAATGGGGCACCCCACTTCCTCCTCTTGGCTCTGTCTGGCCGCATTCTGTCTTGGAAATGTTTATTAGCCTTTTCTCTGTCTTTGCGAATTTTACTTTGTATAAGTCTTCTTTATATTCTTCCATCAAGCTATTTTTACTTATATTTACTGCAGCGTTTCTTCATTAAAAATTTATATTTCGTCACTATGTTGCCCCGGCTAGTCTTGAACTCCACCGCTCAAGCAGTCCTCCAGTCTCAACCTCCCAAAGTGCTGAGATCAGAGGCCTAAGCCACACCACCCAGCTTGTTACACTCTTGGTTACAAAGTTACATAGCTTTTGATGGTTCACCCAGCCTGTTTTTCCCTTAAGCTTGCTACTTTTATTGAATAATTTTGCAGAATTGTGAAGGTTTTTCCGGAACATAAATCACTTAATTATAGGAATGCTTATAAAGCATTTTTTTTGAGACAGAGTCTAGCTCTGTTACCCAGGCTGGAGTGCTGAGGCGCAATCTCGGCTCACTGCCACCTCCGCCTCCTGGGTTCAAGCGATTCTCCTGCCTCAACCTCCCAAGTATCTGGGATTACAGGTGCCTGCCACCACGCCCAGCTAACTTTTGTATTTTTAGTAGAGACAGGGTTTAATTGTGTTGGCTAGGCTGGTCTCGAACTCCTGACCTTGTGATCTGCTCGCCTTGGCTTCCCAAAGTGCTGGGATTACAAGTGTGAGCCACCATGCGTGGCCGCTTGTAAAGTATTTTTAAAAGTGTGGGGAAAATATCCTTCCATTCTACCTCTTCTTTTTGTCCTTCCTTTCCTACAGCGGACAGCCAGAGAGAGAGCGAGACAAAGGAAATTTTTTTTCTTTCTCTCAGCTACCAGCATTTTAAGTGTCTGTTATAAGGGTTTAAAGCTACTCAGTCAACTAAAATCACATCTTCCCCTACAGTTATTATCAGAAATGATAAACTTAATTACCAAAGGTTTCCAATTAGTGCAGTTCTAATGTTACTGGTCATGTCTCAATTTTTACTAAAATTCTCTTAATTTTAATCATTAAGATTAAACAAAAGATTTACTAAACAAAGATTCTTTGTTTCAAATGTCTCCTCCTAAGAGCATGTATAATATTTTGAGAAATAGTCTCCTTATATCCTCTTCTTCCTTATCATTTAAATTGTTTTGACACATTTTTGGAAAAGGTTTGGAAGTCTGTAGCTCTCCTTACTGTTGTGTTTAAGATTTTAATCAGGGCCTGTTCTAGGCTTAGAAAGTGCTACAGACATTCTTCAAACTGTTGTCGTGTCTCAGATTTTTCACATAGTCACTTGATTCTCCGAAATTTAAAATGCTATAAATTTGGCTAAAATGATGAGGTCAGATCAACTATCTATCCATATAAACAATGTGAGACACCACCTTTTGTAGGAAATAATGGTGACATATCTCAGAGTCTTCTGGTCTCCTTATCCTCAGAACTTCTGCAGGTATTCCAAAAAGTAGGAAAATATTTTCATGCCAAAAAATTTAGAAGAGAATAAGGTTACACATATTCCAACAAAGCATGTAATATTTATTATAAATGAAAGAAGATAAATCAAGAAAAAGAAATGGAGTATGGAAGTGGAGCCAGATGTAATGCAAAAAAATCATAAGCAAAGCATAAATTTGGCTCAGCTCTCTAGTAGCCAATGTGAGAAGGGTCATCTATCCAACATACTGTGTCCATTAGCTGAAACAAACCAGTTATTTAGAGGACACAGACTTACTTTTGGAACTAATAACAGAGAAAAATTTCCTGTGTGTGAAGATTTCATGATCTGTAGGGAATCCATAAGCCCCATACATTAGGTGCCAGAATGTAGGGATCCATGAGCCCCACACTGGGCACCAGAGTGTAGGGAGGTAGCCCTACATCACGTGGGTACCCCGAGTTCGGTGGTGACAAAGGATGAGAAAAAGACAGATTAAGAGAGATAGTGGGGCCAGGGGGCCATCACTTTATTACTCTGGAGGAAACAGTGAAGGCTCCAAGCTCTGATCATCCACACTATTTATTGATTACAATCACTTTGATCTACAGGGTAGGGTGGAGAGATGGTGGAGAGATGGTGGAGAGATGGTGATGGTGGAGTGAATCAGTGAGCCGGAACTGAATCAGTGAATGGGAACTGATGTGTCATTTTAAGGACTGATAGCAGTGGTGGTTTGGGAGTTTCACAAAACAAGAACACGTGGCTATTTTTAGCTTATTATGTATGTACAGCTGATGAAATGTCAGCCTTCCAAGGAGCCTACAAGTCTGGGTACATCATAGTGCTACGAAGGGGTTTTACGTCCTTGAGCACAATGTTTATGGTAACAGAGCCGAGGTCACTCTGCACCGGAACATGAGGCATGGAGAGGCCTTGCTCCTCAGAGGCCTCCTGCAGCCTTCTGCAGTTTGTTGTTCCTTGTTTATATGTTACTCACAACCAATCTAGGTAGGCACTCTGTAAGTCCTTTCTCCTCTGCTGTTTTTCCCAACAATGATGTATGTGATCAGTAATATTTCTGTATTTGAGAGAAGTTTTTTGGATTAAGGGTAAGTGGGCTAGCTCTTCTCAACCTTGCTTCAACAGATTTGGTTGGAATGATGCTAGGACTCAGAAAATAACCCAAAATGAAGGCCTCAGAGGCAAAAGTGTTTCTCTGATCTTCTCTTGGCTTCCTCTCAGTCCCACTCTCCCCTTAGGCTAGCCATAGAAACTAGAATCACCTTTCCCCAAGGCAGGTCAAGACACCAGAACCCCCTTTCCCTAAAGCCAGCCATAAAACCTAAAATCATTATTCATTTTCCCTTTGCCTTTCTGTATAAAAACTACTCATGAAGAAATGATGTGTCCTACCTTCTTTGGCTGTGGGTTATAAGACCACCATTCCAGAGATGGTATTGCCTCACACCAAGAAGGAAGGAATGCATGCTTGGAGAGGCCAAAGATCTAGATAGACCGGCCCTGCTGGGATCTCCCACTCAGTCTGTCAGCATGAGATTATACCCTTTTTGTCCAATCATATTTCTTCATAATTACCCATATTTTATTGAACCTCAGCATAAAAAATGGACACTTTCCCCATAATTTTGGGAGGCTGGGCTGGGCAGATCACAAGGTCAGGAGTTTGACACCAGCCTGGCCAACATGGTAAAACCTGTCTCTACTAAAAATACAAAAAATTAGCCAGGTGTGGTGTCAGGTGCCTGTAATCCCAGCTACTTGGGAGGCTGAGGGAGGAGAATCGCTTGAACCCGGGAGGCAGAGGTTGCAGTGAGCCAAGATTATGCCATTGTACTCAGCCTGGGGGACAGAGCAAGACTCTATCTC